GTGGAAAATAGCTGCTGTAGAGTATTTAACATGACAAGGCTATGAATTATGCAAATTTTACCCCAATTATCTTCACTCACTGCCCTTCATATGCCCTATGCCTTGTTCTGTGATAGGAAGTGAAAGGAATGTGCAAAGAGAAGACACCCTATCACACTGTGCTTGGGCAGCACATGATATAGCACATCTGCAAACACTTACCTGCAAAACCAATATGCCTTGCATTGTCTGGGCACAAACTCCCTGCCTAATAATTAATGTCAGATGGGATTGGCTGCATTGTATTGGAATATAGCATCAGTATACATTTGAAAAATCAAACCATGGCTAAACAAACCCTGTGGCATCAAATAAACATTCCAGTACTGCAAAATGTGAGTACTATATACAATTTCCCTGAAATGTTATAATTTGTGCTTGAAGCATTAACACAATTCACTGTGTTGCAGAGCAATACACATTCGTCAAACAGTAATAGAGCGTCTCTTTAAAATGGATCCAACTTGGAGGTGCAGCATGAACATCCAGAATAACAAGACTGTTGTGTTACTCTTCTCATAGCCATTCTACTTCTGTCCCAGGAGAGAAATTAAAATAGTTCCTGAAACATATAGCAAAGCTATAAACCATGTAAAGCAATATCAACATTTCCCAGAAGCTCTATTTATTACATTACCAAATTTTTTATTCATGAACTTTGCTCTAATTGTGTTAGTATCAAAGTATATTATTTTTATTGATGATAATAGTGTATGAAAGTAATTATGCTAGTGATTTTAGCATATTAGCTTATTTGTGATACTGATAAAATGTAAGCTTTAAAAATTCATAACAAGTACAATTTGCATATTACATATGTATATAGTTTTGCTTCCTAGACGTATTTGTTTAACACTCCATTATATTCTTGTAGGGCCTGAGCCTGAATTTCTTGTGCAACTATATGTCATGTTTAATTCAGTATCACAGTTAGGATGCACAAAAAAAGAAAAAGTGGGCCTATAACCTACCATAGTGTTTTTTTTATTCCTGTACTTCAATTGTAAACTCTTTGGGGCAGAGACTAACTTTTTATTCTATGAGTGATTCTCCTTCCTATGTGCTACAGTCATGCAAATTTATAATAATAATGGAAAGTATTTCTGCCAGTGAGATGCAGGCTGTAGAGTATTCTCTGAGCCAACGGAAGCCTTAGCACTTTGAATAAAACACTGGAAAATATACAATAAGTATTATCCTGTATTGCCAGGGGGATGGACTGGATGATCTAGTAGGTCTTTTCCATCTCTATCATCTATGATTCAGTATAAGCCTGATTCAAAGGTCATTGGTCAGTTGAAAGAGTCCAATTTATTTCAATGGGATTTTAATCAGATCCTATAAGCATTCCAGACTTTGCACTGCTTTTTCTGTGTTCAAGTTAATTCCAAATAACAAAAAGAGGGTTTCCATTGTACTGCACATGAATATTAGGGGTATTTTATAATACTAACTGCATTTTATTTTTACATATTATTTTAGTACAAGGAATGTTCAAGGGTAGTTTCAAGAAATATGAGCTTGCATTATTTAAAGCAGACTGTAAAAAAAATCCATAGTACCTTCGAACCTATATCAACAAAAGTATTATAGTTAAATATTAGACTGAGGAATTTGGTAAATAACTTCAGCAACTTGTATTAAATCCGATGCATACTCTCATGGGAAGTTGTTTGACTGAGAAAATTCATGAATAGTACTACAGTTACAAGTTTAACCACAGATTTGACTCCGAGGTTATGGATTGTGTTGCATAATAGGTAGGTTGAGGTCATTTATCACTTCTCTGTCATGCTCCTTGGTTAGCATACTGGGGCTGTGGTGCTACATATCGAATCCCTAATCCATTTGGGTTAAGAATGACATTTGGGGCTTTATCATAATGGATATGTTAGTATTCCTCCAATAGAGTTTTACAAAATGTGATTAGGTTGTTATAGGATTATTATATGGGGCAGAAGCGGGATAGAAAGAGTATCTTTAGACTGATAAATAATATAGCATTTTCAAAGTGTAGGATTTTTTTTTTACCTTGCCTCTTTTGAAGTTAAATAAGATTTGTCCTCTAGTGCTGGAGTAAAGTGAACATCTATATTCACTAAAATTTAGTTTTACATCCACACAATACATTGATACTTTTTGTTTACTTATTTTAATATTTACAGACTTCATTTTCCTATCTAAGCCAGCACATTGCCTGCAAAGTATTTCTTCCGTTGAAATATTTTTTCATGGGATGATTTGAGAAACAAGTAAAACTGATACTGTAGAACAGTGCTCTTCTTTCATACACCTCTACCCTGATATAACGCGGCCCGATATAACACAAATTTGGATATAATGCTTATAATGCGGTAAAGCAGCACTCCGGAGGCGGGGCTGTGTGCTCCAGCGGATCAAAGCAAGTTTGATATAATGCAATTTCACCTATAACGCAGTAAGATTTTTTGGCTCCCGAGGACAGCGTTATATCGGGGCAAAGGTGTATTTCCAACTACAGTAAAAAGAATTTTAATTAAACTAATTTTAATTCTGCAACACTTGTGGCTTTATTAAAGAAATCCCAAGGTACTGCTATCACAATTGCACTGTCATCACTGCAGCACATTGCAACTTGACTATTTTTTTATGTCTCTTCTGACCTAACTCACTCAAATAATGGTCCAGATCTTTCCTGCTCCTGACTCAGGCTCAAATCCTCCCTTTTTCCACAGGTTAGAGTAAAAGAGTAGTCACTCTGTGGCTACAGACTGTAGTGGCTGCTGCTTGCCCCACAAGGACCATGTCTAGCTTTCCTTTGTGTCTGGAAAATGCTTAGTGCATTCTGGGCATTACTACAGTCTAATTAGTAACAATGTATCTTTCCAGTACTCTTGCTCATGTCGCTGATGTATAGGACATGCTGAGAGTCACCAGAGAGATTGGATCTATAGTGGACTTGGTATGTGGACCCTCTGTGCAGGGTCCTCACATCCTGCTCCATTACCCCATGCAAATGAGTAGAACAACACCAGTTCTGCAGAAGGCCATTGAGTAGGGAACAGGATTTCCTTCCATATTTTAAAGAGTTTTTTAACTGTTTCATATTGTACTCTATGGAGAAACATTGTATACAACCACAGCATAGGAATGTGGTATCTTTTGTTCTCACAAGTGCTGCAAGTAAAGCACAATTTAATAACGAAATTACACCTCTACCCCGATATAACACAAATTTGGATATAACACGGTAAAGCAGCGCTCTGGGGAGGCAGGGCTGTGCGCTCCAGTGGATCAAAGCGAGTTCAATATAACGCAGTTTCACCTATAATGCGGTAAGATTTTTTGGCTCCCGAGGACAGCGTTATATTGGGGTAGAGGTGTAGTAATTAATACCATGATACTCATCATGCTGACCCTGAACTTAAGGAAGAGAAGAAAGAAAATAGTGAGAGAAGAAAAAAATTTAAAAAAAATGAAGGCAAAGAAAAAATTTTAAAGGAAAGAAATGGGT